CCACTAGAGAGAGTTAATTACATAAAAATGATAAATACCAGCACAAGTAGGAGACAGCCTTATTTTTTAAACATATTTGGTTTCTTAGCTTTAAAGTTTTAATATTTTATCCATTAGCTAGGCCAACAAAGGCTTGATAGTGTCCTGTATGGAGAAGAGTCCAAACATGAGCAGAGATAAGGTTTTCTTATATGTTGAACTTTAATCCCAACTGAACCTCCTTCTAAAATTATTAACTTCCAGTTCATATGGCCATAAGTCTATAGAAATGTAAATCAGATGTTTTGAAAATTAGCTAATCAGGACTTTATTTTCTACAGAAATAAAATGTACTTTACTAACCCTTTTATATTTTCTCCCCTAATACATTTTAATTGTGTACAAATACACTACTTTGGAGGGTTAACATGTCTATTAATACAGGTTTAGTCACTGAACAAAAGCATTACGCCTCCATAATGTGCATCTTCTGGGGTTTTCATTTCTCAATGCTCGATAGTCAAATAGAAGACCATTTACAGGCACAGCAAATTATCTGAATAGCAGCTGCTCAGTTTAACTTATTCTCTTGGTGGAAATGTGTTCTAAGAAGACACGTAGGTAGATAGTAGGAAGTTTTAAGAAAAAACTGATAAACATCAATTGTTAAATTTGGACTCAAGGTGAGATCATTACAAATAATAGTCAACAGTAGGGAGAAAACCAATGTATTAAACACTGTTGTAATGCCTTCCAGTTTCCAAAGATCATAAACAAAAGCAGCCTATATAAACATAAGAATTTTTGCTGTTTCTCTGTTCATACATACACAACCATTGTTTAGAACTACTGCCAAAGGGCCAGCCAAGTGGCTCAGTTGGTTAAGAGCTCGCTCAAGAGTTTGAGCTCTGAGCAGCAGCAGTTCGATGCCTGGCCTGAGCTGAGCTGCCGCTACCAACAGGTGGCAGGATGGCTCAGCTTAAAAAAAAAAAAACTGGTGCCGAGACCCGTTCGGCTTCCAGTGGCCGCCTGGTGCACACTAGCCAGGTACCTAGAAGGTCCCTGAGTGGACTGGGTGGGAGATTGAGAGATGTAAGAAATTAAATAAAAAAGAAAGACAGAGACAAAAGCTGAGATCAGAAGGGACACTCTGCTGTGGGTGGCGGAGGGAGTGCCACTGTTTATTGGATACACATTGATTATATAGAAAGCAACTTCCCCTTTTGCAAAGGAAAATTCCTTTACAACATAGGGGATTTTGGCAGGGGGTTTTTTGGGGAATCGGGGACCAATGTCTCTGACATAAGGTTTGGAAGTGAGATACTCTCCTGGCAACAAGTTACATATTTACACAGCATAGACTAATGATATATTTTAAGTAAGGTTAAACTGAGGCAAACAGAAACTGTCAGCAAGTCCATAGTGGAAAGTTCCAAAGTTCATAAGTCCATAATTAGACAATGACATCTGAGGGTCTGGTAGTTTTACATCAGGAACTTCTGCTTTTCCATGGCACAGGAGACTGAGCTAAGCTGTTTCTCCAGCAGTTCCTCTTTTTGCTGTTCAGCTAGCATGAAGTTTTGCAGCCTTTTCCTCAGCACACAGAACACGGTGGTCTACAGCCACCTGCCATTCTCCACTTGTAATCAGCCTGCAGTCTCACTACTCTGAGACGGCTCCCAACAAACTAGTTTTCCTGTAGCTATGTTACTGTAAGCAGGAATAACAGGGCCTGGGGTACAGAGAGGGGAGGCAGACAAGCGGCATGTGATGGGGAAAAGGAAGGAGGAGAAGAGGAAATCCTTAGGAAAAGGAACTGGATTCTGATGGCCAAGAGCAGATGCAGGACACGTCTTGCCCCTCAGGTGACATTTAGCTAATTTCACCTCCACTCTTGCCAAATTTAATAAGAAATTTGTTTGCTCATTGTTCTAATTTAAGCTCAGATATTCTTGTGACAGCACACAAAAACATGTGATGAGAAGATATCAGGGCAGCCAGTAGCGAGCAGAACTGATGAAAACATTGCAAAAATTCATCAAATTATGTGTCAAAATCATTGGCTGAATGTGAGAAGCATAGCAGACCAAATAAACATCAATACAGAAACAGTTAAGAAAATCTTAACTGAAAATCTTGGCATGAGAAAAGTGTGCAAAAATGATTCCCAAGGAGCTCACCGATGAACAAAAGCAAAGGCAAATTGAGGTTTGCCTCTTGGAGAGGCAAGATGATGATTTGGGCCATGTTATCACTGCTGATGAAACATGAGTGTACCAATACAACCTTGAAACAGTGTAAAAGAGCACAATGGAAGTCACCCAATTCTCCACGACCACAAAAGCTCCGTCTGTCCAAAACAAGAGTCAGAACGATGTTGCTAACCTTTTTTCTTATCAGCAGGGTTATTTATTTTGAATTTTTATACCAACTGAACAAAGAGTAAATGAGGTTTACTATTTGGAAGTGCTGAAAAGGTGAGTGAAAAAGTTAGACAAAAATGATCTGAATTTTTTGTCAACAATCCATGACTCTTGCATCACGACAATGCACCAGCTCACATGGCACCGTCTGTGAGGGAATTTTTAGCCAATAAACAAATAGCTTGATTGGAACACCCTCCCCACTCACCTGATCTGGCCCCTAATGACTTCTTTCTTTACCTCAAGATAAAGGAATTATTGAAAGGAATACATTGATGAGATTCAAAACATCAAGTGTAATACGAAGACAGTTCTAATGGCCATTCCAAAACAGGAGTCCCAAAATTGCTTTGAAGAGTGGACGAGGTTCTGACATCTGTACATAGCTCCCAAGGGGACTTCTTCAAAGGAGACCATAGTGATATTCAACAATGAGGTATGTAGCACTTTTTCTAGGATCAGTTTGCAAACTTAATTTTCACACCTCATATAATAGATTCTAATATTATTAGCATGGCAGCCAAGAAAAATCTCCTCCCTGTGCCACCTAGATAGTTCCCACAGGGGCCAAATAAGAACAAAAATCCCTCCTCCCGACCAGAAGGAGTGGTCAGCAAGGACCCAACCTGGGAACGTCTGCGACACCATCCCTAAATCTTGAATATTTCGTGCCCTCATTTTAAACATGTTAAAATCCGAAGCTTCTTTGTTCTCTGGGGCAGTTGCTCTTCTTCGGGGCCTGCCCACTCTCATGCTGTCTTGAGAGTGTCCTGTACTATTTTCTTTCTTTTCATAAACCTGTCGCATACCACACAAGGGCAGTGAGAGAACGAGAGGGGGCAGTGAAGGGTTAAAAAAGAAAAGAGGGCCGCCACTGCCGTGTTTCTTGGGGCGCCTGTGTCTGGACTGGTCGTCCCTGCCCGCAGTGTCTGCATTGCTCTGTGGTAAAGGCGTAGAGTTGGTGGCCACAGCCTATTGGCTGGGATGAACCACGCTCTAGGTGGAGGCAGGGGAGCCAAGCCGCAGCCATGGCCAGTACAGTGGTAGCAGTTGGAATGACCATCTCTGCTGCAGGATTTGCAGGCCATTATGTTTTGCAAGCCATGAAGCATGTGGAGCGTCAAGTAAAACAAGTGTTTCAAAGGCTACCCAAATCCGCCTTCAGTGGTGGGTTTGAACCCAAAATGACAAAATGAGAAGCAGCATTAATATTACGTGTGAGCCCTACTGCCAATAAAGGAAAAATAAGAGATGCTCATTGATGAATTATGCTTTTAAATCACCCAGACAAGGGAGGATCTCCTTATATAGCAGCCAAAATCAATGAAGCTAAAGATTTACTAGAAAGTCAAGCTAAAAAATGAAGTAAATGTATGATGAATTTTAAGTTCTTATTAGTTTATGTATGAGTACAAGCTTTTTATAATAAAATGCCTCAATGCTACAAATTTTAAAAATGATTAAGCACAAACTAAAAGCTTTGGTACGTCTCTTGTTTAAATTTAGAATTTTAAATCAGATTATACAGTATTTGGAGATTAATGCCCAATAATTAGGGATAAATACATACCATTTGAATAGAAATACTGTTCATTACTCATTTAGCAAATAATTTAGTACCTATTTCAAAGCAAAGTAAACATGAAAGTCTGTGGGGTGGGAAACTGATAAACTGGTCATTACCATGTGATAAATATTATGATTGATGAATTAGCACAGGTTGTTATAGTATGGACTCATCTCATTGAGAGGAAAGACTGTCAAGGTACAGAGAACTGGCCCAGCTGCTTGGAACACTGAATTTAAAAGTGAATTTGGGGCCGGCCGAGTGGCGCAATGGTTAAGAACTGGCTTGGGACGCCAGAGGGCCCC